TGTTTTCGGTATTTATATTTTTTCGACATTTTTACTGTCGGTGTTAGCAGGGTAAACTGTCAAAAACCAATTTTACTTGAAAACTTCGGAAAAAACACTAAAAAAAAACAAAAAAATCATAATTAGCATCCGGGCGTCTAAATGTGCCTAATCCCACTCCTCTTGCCCGGAAATGTTCTTTTTTTACTGACTTCACCTTCCCTCTTTGTCTAAACGTCCATTTATGATGGATGGCCCTTATGCAATTGAAACTCAAACCATCGCTGCTTGAAGAATAAGGTTTGATTTCTTTAAATAAATCTTCCTCTTTCTTTATCACATGTCGACATATATAAAGTTTGTAATCATATATTTCCTAATGAAATTAAAACATAACGAATCATTTGTTGTCAGTCTATTATATAAAATTCTCTCAAATTTCTTTTGTCGAGGTCTCCATTCTTGTTTTGTCGTATGTATATTTTCAATCATAGTCCATGCATTCGGTGAATTATGATTAATTTCCAGTGCATCTTTAAATCAATGAGATGCACTATAAATTTGACCACGATCATGTACCATAGAACCCAAATGAAGTACACAATCAACATATTTGGAATGTTCACGTAAAATTTCTTTATATAATGTTTCAGTTTTATTAAATTCAAATGATGCTTCGCATACACGAGCTAAATTATAACGCATTGTAATAAGAATTGAATTAGCATAAGCTGGCTCAACTTAATGAGCTTGTTCAGCATATAAGATATGAGATGTCCTTTTCAAAATATTTACGACTTTCTTCATAGTTATTTAAATGATAATGTAATGAATCCATATTATTCAACATTTCTATTGGAATATCTTTTCCATGAAATTGACGAATTAATTTTGATGTAGTCATATAAGCATCCAATGAATCTAACAGAGTCAATTCTCAAATTATTTTTAGAAGAATATTCTAGGAAGTTAAATTTCATATCATTCAATGAAACATTTCTCACACATAAATAAACCGTCTCCATATCTT